CGATTCTTTCTCCACTCAAGGTAAGACGGTTAATTAAATAGGATCATTTATTTTAACATCCATTTGACAATTAAATAACAACATTCTTTTTCATTTCAAGGACGAGCCGTTAATAAACAAGAATTCTCTTGATTTCAAAAGTATACGTACAAACTACAACGATTCTTTCTCCACTCAAGGTTAGACAATTAATTAAGTGGGATTATTTATTTCAACTTTCATGTGACAATTACGTAACAGTGTTTTTCGTTTCTCCTCGTGTGAACATTATTCGTATATTATTAAAAGGATTATTTCTCCACTCAAGGTAAGATTAGTGATTAAGTAGTATTATGTATTTCTACTTTCAAGGTCACACAATTAATTAACAATATTTTTTCTCATTTCAAGGACGGTCTGTTAATTAGCAAGAGTTATCATCGTGTCAACACGTACAAATGATAAGGATTGGCTAGGAAGGGGCCATAAATTTGCAAGAATTCTCCTCTTGTCCACATTACACGTGTAAAGATTGATTTTTTTCCTTGAAGGTTCGAATCTCAATTTAGTAGGATTATTACTAATTTATAGCGAGGAGAATTAATTAAAAGGACTATATCTCTTTCAAGGTGATACAATTAACGTCGATGGTTCAAAATGGTTCGTTATAATAAATGCGCAGCAAAAGGATGCTCGAACAATTCGCGTAATGTTGATCTAAGCGTGTCATTTTTCGGACTCCCAACAGATTCTAAAAGGTCTGCGTTCCAAGGGTACCTTAGACAAAGTAACGTTACTAAACAAATAATTTATATCTTGTTTGCATTTGATTGTAGACGTCAAGAATGGTGTGCCATCCTAACCATTGATAAATAAAATATTACTCCAAACACAAGAGTTTGTGGTAAACATTTCGCAAGCTCCCAATTCAAACAAACCCGACTTATCCGAGATGCAAGACCAAGGGTCCCTATCCCACTTAATTAATCGTCTAACCTTGAGTGGAGAAAGAATCGTTGTAGCATGTCCGTATACTGCTGAAATCAAGAGCATTCTTTTTTATTAACGGCTCGTCCTTGAAATGAACAAGAATTATGTCAAATGGAAGTTAAAATAAATGATCATACTTAATTAATCGTCTTACTTTGAGTAAAGAAAGAATCCTTACCTTTGTACGTGTACTGTTGAAACGATGATAAATCTTGCTAATTAACGGACCGTCCTTGAAATGACGAACAATATTGTGAATGAATTGTGTTATCTTGAAGGTTGAAATAAAAATCTTAATAAATTAATCGTCTTACCTTGAGTGGAGAAAGAATCCTTATCTTTGTACGTATACTGTTGAAACGATGATAACTCTTGTTAATTAACGGACGGTCCTTGAAGTGAGGAAAAATATTGTGAATTAATTGTGCTACCTTGAAATGAAGAAGCTTGAAGAAGTAACAATGTATAGTTGACTTAAATGAATAAGAATTTTACCTAATTATTCGTGTTATCTTGAAATGCAGAAGAATCCCAATTATTTGTACGTGCAATCTTAGTTAATTATTGATACGTTTAATCTTGGTGCATTATTGATACGTGTAATCTTAGTTAATTTATTATACGTTTAATAATTAATTAGTCAATCGGCCGACATTGAGAGAGTTGTTGTTGTGATGAGAAGGAAAAGTGCACTACGAAAAGCAGAAAATGGTGGTGGTTGTGCTGTGTGCGGTTGCAGCCGAAACTGCCAACCCGCCCAGTGACGTCACGGAGAAGAAGCAGCTCCAACCAATAAAATCACTTTAGGGGGATCGCCATAAGGGAAAAAAATATATGTAAAGCTCCATTCTTGATTGATTCATTCTCTCTGGGGGTTTTCTATTTGCGATTTCTGTGCATAGTCAGTTTTTTGATATGTTGCTTTTGTAATTGGCAACTATGGAAATTGTGTGATATACGATTTGACTAACTTTTTAGGCGGAAAGTGTGGAGGTTATTGTATTGTAGTTTATAAATATGTTGTAGTTTTCCGCGAATTGTTAGAGGTTTTTATTATTTTTTAAGGGTAGGGTATTAAATTTGCAGCTTTTGTACAATCAGGTTTTCAATGTTTATTCTGTAATTATGCAGTAACTTTTGAAATTCTGCGATATACAATTTTACTACAGACAACAAGACCATACTGCCTTTTGCTGTTTAACACAACTCTAGATCAAATGCGTATCCGACTTTCAAGTCGTAGCGTACCTACGTACGTAATTTGATAAGGCGAGAAATGAGAAATGCTCTGCCAAAAAGTGTAAAATAAAGAAAGACTCTCTCTCTCACTCCTCTTGTCTGCACGGGTCGGGTGGGAGGAGAGGAAGGCAGAGCCAGCCAGGTTATTAACTTAATTAAGTAAATAATCAATTTTAAACTGTTAATTAACTAATTACTTTCCCGTTCCCATGGAACCTCTTTCTCTTTCCTCAAAAGTGAGAACCGTCTGTTTTGCATGGAAAATTTATATCTGCGTAATTCTATCTGGTCATTTGCATGCAAACGTGGCATTACCTCGTGATGAGGAAAATGCGAGGGACACGTTTATCGTATCAATCCTTAAACTTATGGGTGTACACTAGATACTTTGGTATAGTGGATCTAATAAATTCCCCTGTCTCATAAATTACCCCATATTTTGTGTGTATCTTGTGGGCTTAAAGTAGTGTGAGTCAGATTATGTACGTGGGGAGCGAGAGTAATGGTTTGTTCTCGGAGCAGTGGAGCGAGGAGAAAGTTGAGTGGACCCACTTTCACCATAATAATTTTACAATGATCACTAATGACTGGGATTTTGACTGGCGGGACAAAAAGTTAGTTAAGCGAGATAGCCATGTCATAAATATTAATAAAATGGGGCAATTTGTTAAAGAATTTTGCAAAAAAAATGAAACAAAGTAGGATTACGTAATAGATTTTGAGATCGAATTTGACAAAACCTGAATCGCTTTTTGTTGAAAATAAAATTATGTGAGGGTACTCAAAATCGAATTTTTCAAACTGAATAGAATTTCTCACAATCGATTTTTATCAAAAATTGTAAATTCAAATTTTACAAAAGCCAACAAAATTTGAATCCGTAAATTGAAAATGTAAATTATTCAACCCATCCTCCCAACTCCTCGAAATTTTGCCCCTACAACATAATTTTATTTGTATTTTGTCATGCCTGAAAAAGTGAAAGATTGCGTAGAAATTTCACTAATGAATTTCTCCCGACTTTCTCTTTACTGCGGTGGGAAAGTGGGAGAGCAGACCCCGTGGTTGATTATTGGACAGGAGAGTGAGCAATATTGAATTTTCTGAAGGACGAGAAACCCAAGAGAGTGAAAGGAAGCGAATAAATCCTGAGCGAAAGTGAAAGTCAGTCAAGAGTGAGAAAGTTTGAAAATCTCACATCACCTCACCCACCCTGTCCACGCCTCGCTTTAATGGCATAAACCTCAACAAGTTCACATCCGCAATTTACCTCATTTTCCTAATGATCCAAAGAGAGAGAACAGCGACATCAAATAATTTTCAGCCCTCCTGTCCCATCGGAATAAGCACGTCGCATCAAGCAGAAAAAGAAAATCAGTCCCTCCCTCCCTCCCTCGCACACAGCAAAGTGAAAGTCAGTCAGTAATTTAATGATCCTCCATATTTACCAGGGTGATTACTCTTCTCACTTTCTACATACTTTCCCCACTAGTCACATTGTTTCTTGAGCACTTTCACCATGAAAAATTACCTCTGCGCTCATCCAAGCATACATCACAGGAAATCTGTGTGTGTGTGGCTGGAGAAAGTAAGTAAACGCGAAAGGGGGGAAAGTAATAAAAAATTCTCTCGCCTCGCTTGCTACTTTACCATACTTTCTGGTGGATGGATGGATAGCCTGGTTGGTTATTACTTTCCCCGTACCGTGCTATCCAAGGAAATTGAAATTTTTACCGAGAGAAAGTGAATCATGCATACGTAGAAAACGGATCTTGCCGCGGTATACACAGTAGTGGCGACGGGTAGTCATTTCCTATCTGTCAGCCACTTTCGTCTTGCCAGCAACAAGTCTAATTTTGTGGATTTTTTCTTCTTCTTGGAGAAACTTTCTCTTTGAGAGAAATGTAATTAAATGATTTGGGTGTGTAATCTATCGTGTCTTTTTTGCCATGTCACATTCCTCGTCGGGTTGGTACAAGCGATTGACTTTTATTACAAGAACAGGGTTGTAATCATGGAACGTTTATTTGTTATTTGTACATTTCATCACGTTCCTGCTCGTCCAATTTTTCACGGGTGGTGGTTTAGTCGATAGGCGCTATTATGATTATAGGAATCGGTGGTCGAGCCAAGTATCTACGTATTTTTGGAGGGAAACTCCACTGCGGCCAATACATCTCTTCCCTAATGGACTATTTAGTAAGTATAAAGAGAGAGAGAGACTAGAGAGATTGGATGTTAGGAGGGATGGGTTTTGGAGTAAAAATCCATAATGCATGAAAAACATGATCCCATTCGTGAAATGGAGAAAGTGGTGAAGAAAACCCACTTGCACGCGAAACGATTGAATCAGTTTTCCATTTTATTCTTGGTAAATATTGAACTAAAAGAAGAGAGATTGTTTGATTTGGTTTTTGTAGATTGTTTTTGTAGTGGAGGAGGAGGAGAGCCAGGCCTTGTATTTATTTACACTGGAAAATTCATCAATACAGGGAGAAAGTCTAAATTGTCCATTGTCTCGATATATTTGGGATGTAGTACATACTGACCAAAGAGAAAGTTTCTTTGGGGAACTTAAAGAAAGCAATCGCTGCCTGCCTTTCTTTTCACTAAAAGACAAAAACCCAAACTAAAAATGTGAAGGGAAACTTAAGCCATATTTTCTTCAAACTCTCTGCACCCGAGACTTTCACCAACGCGAATGCGATGCTGAACGTATATACGAATCGATTTCTGCAAGTGGAAAACTCGCAGAAATTCTTACTTTATAGTTCAGTCCTGTTTTAGCCGTGGAGATGGGTGGACGTGTGCTCCTGGCTTTCTCCACTTTCTCCGCTTTCACCCCATAATCATCACGGGATTTCTTATTATTATCTTCTTTTTTCTGGTCAAAGGAACCAACCAGGACATGAAAAAAAATATTGGCTCCTTTGATCTTCTGGGTGAAAGTTCTGGTTAAATATCCAACTGTGTTTCATTAATCTGGGAGAAAGTCGATTTTATTTTGGCAATTGTGCCAGTTTCTCTCGTGCTGAGTGTACCGTGTTTGTCATTGCGGATAAAAAGAAAAAAACTGCTTGGTACTAGTCGGCCAGACTTCATCATTATCATCGTCATCATCTTCATACCCATTTTTATCACAATCTGGCTCTAGGATTGTAATTAAAAATCTTTTCCCACGCCACTCCAGGGCGGAACTTCTTCTAGTCAAGCCGAGGAAAAAGAGAGAGAGTCCATGTGACAGATAAGAAAAATGTCCCCGACGACTCGTTCCTTGTCCCAGGTGTGTGTCCATCCTATCGGAAATTGTCCGATTGACAAGTCGTCTTATTTTTTGTCTTGTTCTTCGTTTTTTATTTTCAGTTCTGCAGGCTATTCCTGTGTACGAGTGTCGTCTCTTTGGGTGTGATTTACTTTATGAACGCTGAAGTGGAAGCGATTCGGAGAAAGGAGGCGGACGGGAGAAAGCTGGACAATAGGGGAGAAGAAGACGCAGCAGCCATCAAAGGTGGGTAGCAGGATGATTTATCTGAGCTATTGTTTTTTATATTCTTTATGAATGACTGGATATTACATATTATTATTATTATTATGATGTGAGCCTCAAAGGGTAGATAAAGGAGGGAGAAAGTATATTCATACTCACAATGAAAGATTTGAAGCGGAAGTAGAGGACATTTTTATTTATAAATATATTTACTGGGGGCTTTCCAACTTTATGTATGCGTAATGTGGGAGGGTTTCATGGCACAGTGTTTTTTATTTCATGCAAGTTTGTGAATTTAAAAATAGAATGTTTTTGTGTAGAATTGAGAGAAAGCATTGTAAGTTCGAATATTGAGTTGGAGAAAGTTCGTGGTGAAGCCGACCGTGTCTTTTTTAAGAATTTGTTTTGTATCAAACATCACTCGGTTTTAATAAATGCGAATTTAGGAAATGCATGAAAATAAAAAAATACAGGTGCATTGAACGAGTAAAATATCGTCCGATTTAGTCACTGAAAATAAGTTTTTTGTGTTTTCTTTAGATGCACTTTGTCCATTACACATAAGTTTTATTTTTATAAATCGTTCCAACTAGCCTAATCCTTTGATAGAAATGTAATCACAAATTTATCAACAAACATAAACGTAATCCTCCTATTTCCTCATGGATAAAATGCAAAAAAAACACCAATTCTTTTTTTGCGCTTTCTCTCCCCCTAAAAAAACAGAACTCTACCAAAACATGAATAGCCAGCTTTATTCTGGAGCATAAATCGTGCCCTTTATTTATACCCAGGGCACGTATTATTTAAAAAAAGTGACTGATTTACCGAAGAGAAAGCTCTCCCTGCTTCGCTTTCTCTCTTCACAACCAAAGTGGAACGTATTTTCCGCACTGAGCGTAATAATAATGGGAACCCTTCTTTAAAATGAGAAATGTCATTTTACCTCCCTTCCTCTTTTCTTATCCGATCATAAAATCCAAGCATAATGAGCCTTATTTAATAATGGAGGTTAATTTTGTCCCACTTCTCATAAAAGAAAACTTTTCGAGAGAGCAAATTCCCTTTTTTATCTGTTGGATTAGCACGAATTTTAATCATAAAGAGAAAACTTACTTCTTTTTTATACGGATCAAAAAGTATTAAACTTTCTCTCCTCTCTTTTTCATTCTTTTTATAGAAATCGACTACTCGTCAATACCCATCCGACATTCGCTTTTTCACACACACTTTTCAAATTTCTATTCAAATATTAGAAACTCTAGGGTGGAAAAGCACTCTAGAAAAGTTCGATCAGTACTTAACGGAGAAGAAGACGCCTCACAAATCACAAAGCACCACAAATTACGTCACGAACAGAGGAACAAGAATCACGCAATAAACAATCAAGCCAATAAAGGAGAAGCCGCCGTCGTGGAATCAATTACCATCAAGGAGCAATGTTTCGGGACGGATGATGTCCTCGTCGTGGTGGCCATCACGTGTCTGCTTAACTTTAGTTTCGTCGTGGTGGTGTGGTGTTCGGTGAGATGGGTTAATAGCCAGCGTTCCAGGTGGAGGGGGAAGAAAAGGAGGAGAAAGTACTACAAGAGGAGGAAGAATAAGTTGAAAGGCGGTGGGATAAGTTGGGAAGAAATGTAAAGAAAAAAAAATATATAAAAGTTTTCCTTTTTTGAAGTTTTTTTTATCGATGGGTTTTTGAAATTTGGTAACAGAAATTTTTCGCTTCTTTCTTCTTTTTCCAGATCGGATTCTGACTCTTCGACCTTTTCGTCTAGTAGTGGAGGGGAAAGTGAGGATGATGAATATGAACAAGACAATCGACTCGTTAAAAGTTATTCTATGGAAGATTTGAGATTTTATTATGGATGAATGACTCCTTGTACCTGGGTTTTTGGTTAAATTTCCTAATCATGTGTGCAATAAAGGGGAATTATGTTAAAAATGGGATGGATTGTGTGTATGTATAAGGATGAATTTTCATTTGGGTGGAGGGAACCATGATATTTATTTTTGTCACGTGTGTACAAGCAGAGTTTGTATGGTTACCAATTACTTAGAAAATCAGTGCTACAAATAATCAATCTTATGTTGAAAGCCAAAACTAATCTTAAGTACAAATCTGACCTTAAAGCACGTGTATAAATCAGCACATATTTATTTGTTGTACAAACGTGTAATGCAAGTTCTCAGTTTGTAAATATTATTCGCTAGTTTCCTCTGTAGATACGTGACTAAAAACACAAATGAGATTATCAAAGTCATTCATTTATATTTTATTCTCTTACGACATGTGCACATTAGGTTTAGATGTTCAAGGTGGTTTAAATGTCACGCTACAATGCAAAATTTTTCAATGGAAAAGCCCCCAAATCTCCATTAGTTACAAATTTGGGATTGAGATTTTTATTACTTATTATCAAAACTGATGGAAATCTGATGACAAAATTATTAAAATGCTGAATTTTAGAGATAAAATTTCGGCAACCAATGGAAATTTATGAATTTTTCCTGTTGAAAAATTTCCCATTGTAGTGTGACATTTAAACCACCCTGTACATAAAAATACGGAAAAGTTGTGGCTAACTATTTAAGGGGACATGACTTCCCGTGAAATTTTCCTCATTTTGTATACATTGTAGCATTTGATGTCCTGAACAAAATCATCAAAAAATTGGAAAATTTCACAGAAAGTCATTTCCCAGTAAATGGTTGGCCATTACCTTATTTACACATATGATTCATATGGCTTGAAAATAAATATGTGCATACAGAAGTACGTGCACTAAATACATGCATAAATAAATGAATGTATGTAATAATTCAAAGTACTTAATTGCAAACGTGTACTTGGAAATTGTGTCGGGAGACGAATCCCGGTAAGTTCTCGGATTCAATTGCACATTTGAATTTGTTCACTTTTCTTCATAACAAAAAGCTGTACATAAATAGATCTGTTTCATCATTTTAGCAATGTAATGCATATATGTAAATAAATAGTCAGTAGCCTAATGATAGAACTCAAAGGTAAACTTGTTCTTCACCTACATTGCAAGGTATTAATAGAGAAATAATCTTTTTTAGGCTTTTATTACCGACATATTGCTTTTTGCCTAAAATTTGAAATGCGCTACTCTTTATAGGCAGTTTTTCGAGTCTTTTTTCTTTTGTAGTTGGTAACCATGGTAACTCTGCGATGTACTACTTTACCGTTGCATAATATTAATTAGGTTTTCAAGTATTTAACACATATCCTACGTGGACTTAATATAGATACATATCTGCACACAATTGTACACATCGTAATTGGTTCTGACTTGGGAGGAAGCCATACATATGTAATTCAATTCCAGCGACCCAAGTTTTCTGGTCATTCTGCGTGTATTATGAATGACATTTCTTGCATTTCATAACGCTTCATCTAAATTATGTGACAAGCTGTGGCCTAAGTATGTGAATCGTCTTCTTTAAAATTAATTACGTACCCTGAATTCTCCTAGGTTAACATCCGGCCCCGGAAATGACAATGGACGACTTACACAATGCGAGAATAATACTCCTGCATATGTATGTATGTAGGTAATACATATATAGATGCAAAAAGACTCATCGTTATCAGATCTCTACCGTGGCTTCATCAAAGGGTAAGGTGAATTCACAGGCGTAAAATTTCGCGAACTACATGTGGAGAAGAATTTAAACGACAAGGAAATTTTAAAGTTTCGAGTATCAGATTTTTTAATTAAATACGGAATTTCTAATAGGAATTCAAATTGAACTGAATATGATGCGATAGAACTGAAACGATGCAATTCATACGGTAATATTTTCTGGTTTTGGGGTGACGTTTAAATAATTACATATCGGTAAAGTGGCGTGAAAGAGGTATGAAGTTTTATTATCAGTGTACAAAAATTTGTACACTTTAAATTAGCATTGTTTAGGAACTTATTCACAAATCTTAAAGTTCCCATCTAGCATATAGGTTTGAATATTCGTTGATATCATTATGTAGTTACATATATGTATACAGATTTATATTAGGTATTTAGACGGGAAACTCACCACAGAAAATAACTACCCTTTTGTACTAAGAATATTTAACAAACCAGTAAAATGAGTTTTTGAAGATTCATTTTCTTGTTAAAATATATTTTTACTTCAATTTAACTAATTAAAATTAGCTACTTGATTCAGCTACATAAATAACATCGGTCCGGTCGGAATCCGACTCTACCCAGAAACAACCCCACATTTCTATAATTATGTAAATAGAGGGCCTACAAAAGAACATTACATAATTTATGTATGTATGGTAAATAGGGTACTAAATGATGTAGAATCCAAACGTTCGAGACCACAAGTTAAGCGTGTCGATAAAAGGCTTACTTACTATCCTCTTACTTAGGTGAGGAGGTTGTTGTTCTATCAACTCGCGGATCTTGATGCCCTATGGATAAGTTATATTTGTATTGGATTTATCGGACGACATGGTTGTTTTAAAAATGCAGATATATTTATTCCTAGCTTTCAATACACACTTGTATCATTTTCAGGGACAATTTTCGAAATCAAGTTATAGTATCCCATGAATGAACAATAACCCAGAAGTGGTTTGATGTCATGGCCACAATGTGGCCACATTTGCGCCCGCCACAACCACTGAAAGGCGCCAAAAACATGAAAAAAGCCCTGTTTTCACTCAACAACACCCTCGGCAAAAATCCAATTTGTATAGGAATTTGAAAATATTGCACCATTATACTCCCAGATATGTAGTTGTTTTATAATATCCGACACAAAAATATCTTTTTAACTTTTTTGAATTTGAATATTTTCGAAAATTTCCTGCCTTTTGAAAAAATTAAAAAATTAAAATTAAGTCTGTAGGTCAACTAGTGATGTTCTCCTCAGCAAGAGTAATCGAAGTATGGATTAATGATTAAATGAGTTTGAAGTCGTAGTAAATTTCCATATATGTCACATATTTAGATATCAAAAGCATGTTTAAGAATTTCGTGTAACCGAAATATTTATTTATTTCTGTCTTCGTTCAACAATTCTTCCTAGTTCATTAACTATTGAGGATATCAAATGAAAACAAAATACCGATAATCATAAATCGAAGTTTGACGAATGATATGTGGATACATACTAAATTAGTCATAAAGACTTCGCTCTCAAATATCTGCTTCTCCCAAATTAAAAGTCCTCCTTGTCTAACTCGTCTACTTAGAAAATTATTTTATACTTATATGTTCATGACTAAACCGTGTCGATTTAGTTCGGTCTGAATGTTTGTTTGCTCACGAACATAAGACAAATGCAGCTATAACTTTTGAACAAACGAATACGTTGTTTCGAAATTTTTACAATTGGCGGATAAAAGACAGATACCAAGGATAAGTATAGTCATGACCATCGTATGTATAAGTCAGATATAAAACTTTGGTACGCAGGATTTACATGTGAAAAAAACATGGACACAATTGGGATCTGTCGGAAAATCTACGTGGAAATGGTGAGAAAAATTTTGACAATGACAAGACAGATCTGAATGAGTCAAAAGAGTGAAAACTAACAGTAAGTATGTAAATGACCCCCAAAGGGTAAACTAATCCTAAGAAAAATTGAAGATCAGTGAGAAATTGTGCAAAGGCATTAAACAACTGGAAACGCTCAAAATGAAAATTAAGTTCATGCGGATATCAAAATTTCTAAAATGCGGTCAAAAAATCATATCATCCAACAAATGTTGATAACCGTCCTGATTTGCATCCAGAATAACATTGACAAAATTGAAGACATATGTACGTACAACCGCAGAAAGATCGGATATGTACTCAATCATACTCCCTAAATGTGGGTCGGAACTCGGAAGTTATGGACAGGTGGCTTGACACCTCTAAATAGTTATGGGAAAGTAAAAAAATGTGAATGCGGAAATAATGACAAAATCTGCTAAAATTCTAAAATGTATGTATGTAGATGGATAGAGATAGATAGATAGGTATTTATTTAATCTCATTACCCTTTCGGGCTTTTCAACCCATAGAGTTACATATATATTTGAAGTAGTTATTACTATTATAGTAATCTATAAATAATAGTAATATTTATTAATGCATTATAGTTCCGAACAGATCAGATAATCGTGTATCTGATCTGATATCTGATCTGATCTGAAAATTTCAGATATGCAAAATCGTTATCTGATCTGATCTGAAATTTTCAGATCAGATAAATGTCATATCTGATCTGAACATTCAGATATCTGATTTATCTGTTCAGATATCAGATATCTGAAATAAAATTGTCAATATTGCAAACACTACTAAAAACATTTCAGGTTAAATTATTTATTTGCTTCTTTTTATTTTCACACATTGATAAAGGAATAGTAAAGCAGTTACTACTAAAGAATATTAATATTTGAGGTCGAAATATCATAAAATAATTTTACATTAAATTACCCAAGCATCAAAATAATTATATCCTCTAGCAAATCACGACTGTTACTAATCTGAAGTAAAACCATCAGAATTTTAAGCCAAGATAACCCGATCACCTCAGTCTAACTCTAGAATTTTTGTGATTATTTCAGTTGTATTATTCGAAATTTTTATTCGAACTCTGGATATTTAAATCAACGGAAACACCAAGAATTTGGTCTATTTGCAAGTTAATTATAGCTGCACGGTATTAACAAACATTATAAACGCAGTTTTTCTGTTAAAACTTGCGGTTTTGACTCGATTGAATCAGAAAATTACCAAAAACCAGATATCTGAACAGATATCAGATATCTGAAAAAAATTCAGATCAGATATCTGATTTTACGACTGACTATCTGATCTGATCTGTTATCTGTTTTGTTAATCAGATCAGATATTTTTGTTATCTGATCTGGCAATTATCTGATCTGATCTGATATCTGATCTGAATTATCTGATCTGTTCGGAACTATATAATGCATGACTCTCTATTATTTGATTAGTTGTGTTAGTCTGTCAAAAATATATGTAGACAATAGAACAATAAATTTCAAAATTCTCAAGCAACGGAGTGTGGCCTGCGAAAAACTCACACTCTTAGCAAAACGGTATTGAATCAATTTGAATCATCACAATGTGTAAACGTAACACTGGATATAACACTGGTGAGGATTTAACACATTGTGGGGAAGATTTATCACAATGTGGGGCAAATATTATCACAATTTGGTTAAGTCATGTGGGCTCCCCGTTTGGTGATGATTCAATACCGTTTTGCTAAGAGTGCATATTTACATTTTTTGGCCAACTCGTACTCCATGTTTGTATTTCAGGGAAGCGTATACATACTAAGAAAGCCGCTCTTGCCATTTTCGTGTCGTAAGATTCTAAATATTGACGAGAGAAATTGGACCGAATTAAATACACACCCTTTATCAACCAACGTCGACATTAAATTTTGATATTGTCTTTCCGAAATTGCTTTAAGTAATAATTTTATTAAATTTCTCATAGATTCCTATCGTAAAAATGCCATCGAATGTTATTAATCATACATAGAAGAAGTAAGCCCACTCCATACAAGTTATCTAAACGTATTTGATACTTACGTACAAATGTAAACCTGTCAATTCAACATCGCTTCTGTTCCTTACAATAAGAACTTTTTAACATTCATCGGCAAATATTTTAGTACAAAATTACTCCCTGGACTCACAAAATTACTCATATAGAAAACATGTCTTTCCTACAGTGTCAAGCTGTCCAAGTGCTCAAATATCTGTACCATGACCACTACCCATTTTTGTACAAATGGCCGTTTACCATGGATAAGAGGA